GCAGGAATCTGGGGGAAGAAAACCTACTGCCAGGAAGACTCCACTGCCCCCGGGAGGGAAGCAGAGGGCATTTGAGGGAGACTGCCCTGCTAGAAGGTTGGGGAATTGACAAATAGCCTAGGGGAAACAAAAATAGTCACTGACATACACTCGCTAGAAGCAGGAAAACCTGTCACTAGAACCCTGGACAAGTCCCTTGTCCTCTGTGCTTCAGTCTCATTGTGCATGAATGAGATGCACTGGATGGCTGCTGGGGCTACATTCATGAACCAAACATTTGCTAGTATCAATCAGGCGTCAGGGCAGTACTGCACTGAGGCCACCTCGATTCAGGCCCCTTCCAGCTGTGCCCAGCAGCAGGACTCTACTCACTACATCCACCGTGCTGAAAACATGGCAATAGTGGTGGCTGGTCTGCAGGTCCTTGGTGATGTAGGCAAAGGTACAGAGGTCCTCGGGGTCCTGGGCTGCACAGGAAATGTTCCGGATCTCATGCTCCGCGATGACGTTCTGCCGGGGAAAGCAGGGTCTGCTTCAGCCCTCTGACCATCGCCACCTCTCTGTTCCCGCCTAGGGTGTTAGGCAAATGCCACTTCCTCTTATTTTTTTTGGTGAGTGTGGGGAGCAGTGTCTAATCTTGCTCTATTTAGGTTTGGGGTCTCTACCTTCACGGCAACTGGGGAGTGAAATGCTGACATCCAACCACCAGCTCTCCAGCCCCTTCTGCCTTCCAGGGTGGAGGTGAGGAAGGAAGGGTATCAGGAGGGTGGGGTGCCAAGCATGGGGCCTGGGGGAGTCCTTTGCTCATTCAGGGACTCACAAAACTGAAGGCTGATGAGGAGGTTAGTGGGGCAGTGGAACTCATGCTGAGGAAAAGCAGCAGTGTGGGTCACTAGGGTGCAACCCCAGGATCAGGATATGTGGTTACGTGAGAAACAAGCACCTGGACTAGGGTGAGAATGGAGAGGAATAAAAGGGGCTGGGGACACTCTAGGGAAGACACCCAGCGGGTGGGGGATGAGGAATGGGAAGAAGGGTGGGTCATTTCCCGCCAACAGTGCCTGTGAGAAGCCTACCTTGTTGGAGGCATCGATGAACTTGACACCTTTGTACGTGATAGACAGGATGATGGTAGGGATCTTCTTCATGTGCTCAGTGGACTTCTATAGGGAATGACGGGTAGTCCTGTGAATGTCCCTTCTCTGGGCTAAGCCCCCTGGATACCCCAGCCTCCTCCACTCCCATTTTTACATAGGGCCCAGGTTGCTGCAGCTGGTACCCCCACTTGCTTGCTACCTTCCATCATAGCCAGCCCCCCCGCCAATGCTTTACCCCACAAAGATAACCCACCCGCATCTTGGCACAGGCGTCTTGTGTGGATTCTGTCCCTCGAAGATCTTTGATCAACATGGAGCCCAGATACTGTGGGAGTGAGCAATGGCTGGGCTTAGGCAGTCCTACATTATCATGCAGGGGTGACCCAACCAGTTTGGGACCAGTCAGATGATTCCCTCTCCCAAGATTCCCTTTTCCCATGCCAGCTGGGGAGGCCACGCTTCCCCCTAGGTGCTGGGAACATCTGGGCAGCAGTGAACAGCACTGGAGGCCTGAGCCTGGTTAGTGGGGAGCGGGCAGGAAGTAGGGTGTCTAGCTGGTCTGGGCGGACAGGAGCAACTCACGTTGGCTTCATAACCGCAGGACTCGAAGATGAGTTTCTCTGGCTGGTGCTGCCAGCTCTGCACAGGGGCATAGGGGGCAGCAAGGCTGGGGGGCCGGAGGGTGAGCTTGGCCTCACGGTGTTCTTCCTGCATAACACATGGGTCACAGGTCTGCTTGATGCTCCAGAGGAGCTCACGCGCTCCCTGCCCGGCCCCAGCATACCCGGGAGGAAAGAAAAGCAGGCCACTTCAAGGTCAAAGGCTGGGTGGCAATGGCAAGGGGCAGACAAGCCATTCGAAGGCACTGTGGTGGAGTTGAGTCCTATCTACACCAGGGAAAAGGAAGAGAAGCAGAGACCTAAGCCACTGAAGGCAGGCTCAGTCAAGAAGGTTCTGTGGTGTCTGAGGTGAGTCTTCAACGAGACGGGAAATGACTAAGACCAGAGAGGAAATCGATCCGTGTGGGGGCGCACGAAGGGTGGGAGCAGGGGCCAGATTCCTGGAAGCCTCGCTTCTCGATCGAGGCCCCGGGACCTGATCCTGGAGTGGGGAGGTCACTGAGGTTTTCATGGCCAGGGTGTATTTTACAGATGGTCATGGCAGCAGCTGGGATGGGGTGGGGGTGGGGTAGGAGACCACTGGGGTTCTGATGTGAGATGATGGAGTCCCTTCCCAGGCACTAGTATAAGGAAAGGGGAGGAGGGACACGATTCAGGAAATATTTATGACTTCCATTCCCAGCAATGTGCAAAGTCTCTCCATATAGAACAGCTGGAACTACTGGACAGCATGCTTTTTAAATCTTGTAAAAATTCATGGTCATACTTATGGAAAGGCAGGGAAATGCCTAGAGGCCAGAAATGAGAGGTGTGAGTCAAGAGAGAATGAGTGAAGCTAAAGTTCACCCTGAAGGCAATGAGGGACACCTGCCAATCAAGGGCAAGCTCCCAACGTGCAATGACATGGGCTGTGGGGTGGCTCTTGGGCCCAGCAGAGGCTGGTGAGTCTGTGACGGCGAGTGGCACAGCTGAATGTGTGAAACTGGCAGCTGCACCCACCACTGGGCTACAAAACAGCAGGAAGAACTCAGTCTGATCTGAGCTGCAGTTTTGCTGGGCAGGTGAAATAGCAGGTATGGAGTTGAGGAGGGGAGAGAAAGTTCCGGGGAATGGGCAGGGTAAGAGCCTAAGGGCCAAGAAGGGCTGAGAGAGAGAGAAGCTGAGGGATGGTGGCCTGAGGGGATGGACTTCTGAGGAGGAAAGTCCAGGTCACATAAGATACAGCGAAGCCCTAGCAGTGACAGCTGAAGTGCATCATAGAGTCGCAGCACCTGGAGGCTTAAGGGTGAGAAGCCTGACAGGCAGCAGGGTGATGAATGCTGGGAGGAGACTGGTATCTATCACCTGCTCTCAATGCCAGCCCAACAGTGCCTGGGCACAGAGGCTGGGGCTAGGAGGCCCTGTCTTGCCTAGAGGAAGGAGGGGACCCCTGTCTGCAGCACCCCCACTTCCTGCCCTACCTGGATTCTGAAGCGCTCTGCTCGAGAGGGTGCCGCAGGGTCGTGAAGACTGTCATGCCGCCTTCTGCCTGTGTCCCCAGGAGGCAGCAGCAGGTCAGCGGACCGTGCAGTGCAGGAGTCATTCTGGCTCAGTGGGGACGACGTCTGGGAGAGCAAGTCTTGGCACTGAAGCAGGGAGAAATCCAGGTGAATCTCAGAACCCATCAGGCCAGTCTCTGGGCTGGAGGTGTCAGCCAGTCCATGCTGGTTAGGGCCTGGCATGGGCAGCACAAACAAACAACAGGGGCCAACCCAAGGAGGTACCAGACGAATGGCTCGCTGGGCCAGAGTCTGTGAGGAAACAGGCTGCTGGGCCCAGCCTGGGCACAGTCAAAGCAACCAAATTCTTGCTGGAGCCAGGAAGCCCTGACAGCCCAGTCCTGCAGGTGAGCAGCCACCATGAGCACCCCATGTTCATACCCCTTGGTCTGGAGCCATATAGGAAAAGGGATAGGAAGTACTTTCCAATTTATCAAAGATAAAATTATCTGTCACAGTCCATCGTGGATCTCTGGGGCATGTGACAAAATCCAAAGCTCTTTCTTAAGAAAACACATAGCACTACCAGTTTGCACCCCGAGGCCCTGCCTCACAGAGAACAGGTATCAGTCTCAGTTTTCCTATTTGAATGTCGGCTGTGTATCTGGTTCTCAGAACCAGGCTGCCTCAGCTTTCTCATGTGTAGGATAAAACAGCACTTTCTCTCCGAGGCTGCCGTAAATGGGTTGAGGAGCTTGGAGCCCAGTGCTGGTGAAGGGCTCATCCCCAACCGTCAGCAATTCGGCCTTGAAGGTTTGGGGAGACAGTCATCCCGGGCCTCGGGCATGCAAGTCTAAACCGCTTTTGCAGTCAGGGATTCCCTGTCTTGAGCAACAAAGCATTTGTGAGGTTTTTAAAATCATGAGCTCTCACACCCACCCTGCCGCAGGAATTTTTCTTCAGAAGACTTGGGGGGCCCAGGTCTAAACTTTGTGTCTCATGTCAGACTGCTTGAAAGAGGGGCTCCTCCCACCCTTGGTTGCCCCTCCGACTATGCCACCCTGAGGACTGCTGACTTTCACACTCAGACACAGCATCTAGCCCTCTGGGATTTGGATGTTTGTCTTCCTGCCATTTCTCAATGCTGTACTTCCTACTTATATTGAAACTGGACTCTTTATTATAGTCCCTCTCAAGCTTCTCTGATGTAGAGGGGAGACATATAACTGATAAATAGCCAGCTCAAACAACTGTCCCTACCCTTTGACCTGGGCCCAGGGGCAGACTTGGCCCTGACAATGAGAGAAGAGGAATCACCTGCTCCTCTATCATAGAGGTCACGCGGTCTGTGAAGAATTCCAAAAGAATTCTCTTTAATTCCTAACAATACAAAGAACACACACATATTCCTTTCCATCCCTCCCCAACTCACTCTCAGCTGGGAAAACCTTGGTGGTTTCTGAGGCGGCTCCTCATAGGGCCTGTCAGCGAGGGAGGCAATGATGCGCTTGCGATGGCCGAGCAGGTGAACCTTTAGGACCTGGGCAGGGCGGGGAGAGGAGCCATCAGGTGGTTACTGGGCCCAAAGCTCCCGTCAGCCTCACACCTCGCCCTCACAGGCCAGGCTGGCAGGCAGCCTAGGGAAGCTCAAACCTCAGGAGCAGCCAGGCCAGGCCTGAGCAGAGGCTGCACTCACGTTGACAAGCTCCAGTTCCCAGAGGTTCTTCACAGTGTCGATGGAGCTGTAGCCACTAGACAGGAAGGAATGGACGTAGTCCTGCAGCCCCAGGGAGTCCAGCCAGGAGGGCACCGATGGGGGGCTGTTCCCATCACAGCCCAGGGCCTTCACCTGTAGGGCAAGGAGGGGAGGCAGGGCTGACATCTCAGCATTCATGGGACGAGGACCCTGCGGACCACGGAGACCCAGGCCAGCTTACACAGACTACACCGGAGACTGAAGCTGGGGCAGGTATAGGACAACTCCTGAGGGCCAAGGAGGGGCCCTGTAGGCCTGGGTCCTTGGCACAGTGAGGACCCTGAGTTCCCTGCTTTCACACGGCCCTTTCTACCACGGATCCGGTCTCAGGTTCTCCATTTGCAGAGCACCAGAGCACCCTGGATCTGAAGAACATGGCCCCATTAAGTAAGGCTAGATAGGGAGGAATGCTTGCAGAAGGCCTCAACTGTGCTCTGACGAGGTCATGTTCCCGGTGGGACAAGAAAACAGTGTGTGTCCATGAAGCAGGCATTAACCTCACTGTTGGGATTTGTTTGTGCTTCCTGAGTTTTGCAAGTGGAAGTAACAAGGGGACACTGGGCTCAGTGCCAGCACAGTTGAGGAGAAGCTCAGCTCTATCAGCCCCTGGCTCCCCAGGGAAAGATGTCGGGGGTCAGCACAGGCTGGCCTACTCTCAAGTGATTCAGGAGAGACCCTAGCGGAGCTCTAGGTGACAGGCCAAAGCTGTGGGCACCAGGTCCTCACTGTTCCTAGTGCTCTATTGACTCTCTGGGCCCTCAGAACTTGGCAAAGAAGAGGACTCCCCCAGGATGAGAGGCAGACACCCCACAGTGATCTGCATGCCCTTAGGGCCAACCTCCTTCCCTGTTCTGGGTCCAGGTGGTGGTAGGGAGACGTCCCTGGCTCTGGCAAAGGTTTCAGAGCTGTGGGCAGTCACCTTGGGCAGGGACCGTGCGGCCTGGAGCAGCTTCCGCCGGTGCTGTGGGTCGCTGATGCCAATCTCCCGCAGGTCTTGCTCTTCCATCACATTAGACCCCTGAGAACAGAAAAGAGAACATGAGGGCCCTCCTGAACTGATAGTTGGTGGCCACTTAAGGGTGTCAACTCAGCTTTTCAAGGCTCCTCACCAAATTCTTCTCTTTTGCCACAGGCACCAAGAAGGAGTGGAGACCTCAGGCTCCCTAGGGAGGCCAGGCAGGAAGAGGCCGTGGTACATGCTGAGGTAAGCCACAGACAAATCTGCCCAGGCTGCCAACTCTCACCTGAGTGGCAACCAGATGAGCTGGGCAGTGCTGGGGCTCTGGAACAAGCATGGGTGCAGACCCAGGCCAGAAAAGACAGGGCCCAGGAGGACACTGCGTGACCAAGCCTAGCCATAAGCCTTAGCCCACCTCTAAGTAAAGATGCATTTTCCTGGGGAGCAGGTTCCACGACCATCTGAGGTGAAGGACAGGTGGACAAATCTCAAGGTTCCTCACACTCATTTTATAATTTAAGGCTGTGACAGCCACCTGTCGGGCAGCTGGCAGCAGGGGCAGGCACCCAAGGAACCAGCAGGCATCCTGAGGAGGAGAGGTGGTGGGGGTGGGGTGGAGTGAGCAGTCAGAAAAAGACTTCCCTGACCAGAAGAGGAAGGAAGGTCCGCGCTAAGCC